CACGCTCTATCTGGCAGCTTTGTAGGAAAAAGAAAATCTAAGTAATACAATATGAAAACAACTAGCGTTGTACTTAACGCTCTGGAGCGAACAGGTATCTGGCTAACTTAAGATGCAGCAAGTTTAAGGATTTACTTTTCCCCTTTGGGATGCTCTACTTCGTGAAAAGGCAGTCTGGTTTTTCCATCATCAAGCAGTCAAGGAAAGCTGACACAAGCCTTTTCCTTCTTCAGACCCTCTTTCTACATTTCTGATGGTTAAAGAAGCAAATCTTATTCAGATATCTCAACTCTGTTTAAACTTGACTAAACATATTAGAGTGGTGAAAGAAATAAAGATATTTCAGTCATCATCACTAAATTATACATGCTCTTAATGTGACAGATGAAGATGCATTACCACTTTTTCTATGGCTCCTGCTTCTTCTCTGGGCATTCGGTCTAGAAAGTCATTGTAGTGCTTGAGTCCTATTTTCTGAGTGTTTGTCAGGTGGGCTTTTGTATGGATATCCTCCAAAGTACGAAATCCCTGAAAGGCAAAATGACATTTTTAAGAAAAAAAAAACTGTTATGTTGGCATTTGCTTACTGATTTTTTAAAATTCTAATTATTAATAAAATTAGAATAAAATTAAAGACATTCACAGCCAAGAATGAAAGTGGCTTGAGATTCAGTGTTTCCTGGAACCTTGTTCCGGTAAAATTGATTCATGAGTCATTAAATCTGATATTATTTTGAAGCCTGGCACACCTTCCAGCTGAAGTCATGGAAGCAGATAAACAATCACATGGTCTCACCTGGATACAACTGTTTTTTCCCCCTCAGTCAGATCAAAATGCTGTAGTTTAGTAAACGTATTAGCGGTAAGCAAGATAGTGAACAACAGTTGCATTCAGTTGTTTTGATAAACAAGAAACTTCAAACTCACAGGCAATGTCAGAATACATGTTAGATCAGACAGTGGATCTAAATACGATGTGTCCTTGAGGCTATCTGTTATTTCCTATTTAAATATCACTTCATTTATTTAATATTTGTGGATTGCTGGCTGAATCCAGAAAGAACGGTTAACCTCGGTGCCACAGCAGCATGCAGCTTGTCCACAAAGAAAATAAGCTTACAATTGAATCTATGACTTATTTCTTAGTAACTAATTTCAACCCACTGTACTGTTACATCAGAGTTTAGGATGAACCCACTTGAATTCCTAGTCACAGCTGTACCTTTAATAAATATCGTATGGAGGAGTAAAATGATACGGATTTCATTTGACTGAAGCTGCTAATTATACAGAGTCCAGAGTATAGCCAGGGAGAATTTTTAAAAGAACTTTGGCGTAGTAAAACTGACATCTCATAAGTGAGTAATTTTACAGTTTAGAAAACCCAATAATGGTATAACAATACATATTGTAGCTCACATTTTCACCAGAATTTGTTATTTTATTAACAGATTTATGAGAAAATGCAATGACTGTGTTGTTGAAAAATAAATTCCAAAGCTCTTTGTAGACAAACTGTCTAATGGCAACACTGTTTTTACATTATCTTAAATCTTCTGTAGTTCTGCACTGCAATCAGTCAATATGTGCAGCAATACCAGTGCGGCAGAAATTTTACCACCATATCAGTCAGGTTGTTTCATTTTTCAGGCTATAGCCCAAAATTTCAATCTTAAACGCCTTTCTGTTACCTTATATTTCATGAAATAGAAGTCAATATCATATCACTGTGTTGTAAAACATATTGTAAGACAGAAAAGACACAGACAACATAATTCACTAACAACTTTTTGTGCGGGGTACAATCTTTGTACTTCAATCTCCTATACTAATATGTGAGTTTTCACCTGTTGGTACCACAGTTGTGCAGTTTTAGTTCCAGCACCCCAGATGTTCATGAAAAGCTCCAGCACTGGCACAGCCTCACCGATGTGATCAAGCTTCCGCAAATGACCGCTCTCCATAATCTCTTCAATTTTGTCAGCCATGCGTTTTCCTATTCCTGGGATCTGACAAGCTTCCTGAGACCAATGGGAAAAAATGTAATTAAAAAAAAACAAAAAAAAAAAGCTAGACAGTCCTTGTATTATCACAGAAGATAAAACTTACAGTACACAATGACATATGCAGGTAATCAGCAATCTAAACATTGCATTTAAAGTATCTGGGTAAGGCTACCTGATATGATGTAACGGGTTTATGGTAGCTTTTCAGTGCGTTGACAGCCTTGGAGTAGCCCAGCGCCCTCCACTTGTCCCCCTGATGCGTGTAGGCCTTGGCCAGCAATTCAAGTTTGTCTGTGATGTGCTTGTTGAAGTTATTACTTTTGGACTGAGAGGACTGGGCACAGACCCACTTCCCCGATACTGGCTTCTGAGCAGCAGTATCTGGACCAAGGGAGAGGCTGGGGCCAGGAGTCTCCTCTTTGGGGTGCTGGCCAGTGATGAGAGCTTCCAGATCACTCTGAGAGACGGCGTCTTCTTCTCCCCGCACTTCCTCTTTGCTGTCTGGGACTGTCTGAGGGCAGGATGTAATGTAAAATAACTGTTTCTGTTTCTTGCGTTTGGGGTCTAAACTTTTTCCCCTGACTGCTCCAAATGATTACTAACTGAAAGACTGAAATGCACCAAGAAGCTGCAAAACAATGTTTTCAACATGATCTGGAAGTTTACCATTTCTGTGTTCTCCTCTTGATCAGTCACTGGCTCGATCAGAGTTTCTGCATCAGGTTTGATATTTAGTGACTCTTTTTTAATTTCTTCGTGCTTTGTTTCAGAGTCACTAAGTGGATAGAACATAAAATGTCATTACAATACAAAGCTTAAAACATATATTACTGTCAACGAGGTAAATGTAAAGTACAAATAAGCTGACACACATTTTCTAATGTTTGTGAGAATATCTTGGGATATTCATGCAGCAGGAGTACAATTTTACCTTTAACTTTCAAAGAAAGCATTTTTAGATCACAAACCTCTTGGGTGAAAGAAGGCTGTAGCTGGCTATATCTAGCAGCTGTTTCTCACTAATGCACAAGCTCAGCCAGGTACATTTTACCAGTTGGACTCCAGAGGGCATACAATTTACTTTCAGCAGGCGCAGAGCCCTTTCGCTGTCCACATTGTCGTCCACAACAACATGAGTGACACCGGGACACAGTGAACTCTCTGTTTGTCCCCCATTCTGCTGAATTTGTCTTTGGAAAATCTGGCATCTGGCATTTCCTATTCCAGCAGGCAGAAGGTACACCGTCACTCCATTAAAAGTGTTTCCTGAGGCAGAAAATGTTAAAACAATCCCAGTAAACAAATATTTTGCATTCTGGCACAGTATTCATTTCTCTCTTAATGTAATGCAGCCTTATTTATATTTTTTCTATGTTGTGCTCCATTTAAAAAAATAAATAAATAAATAAATCACTCTTTCTGTAATGTGGACGCATGCGTGCAAACACTGTAACCACCTGTGACATCACAGTCATCTGCTGTCTTCTTCAGTGGGGGTGCATCCTTCCCCTGTAGCACTTTTGCCCTTTTGACTTTAGAAAAAGCTTTCATGATACCATGACGAGGCTCCATCTTTTCTGGTGATAGGAGGAGCAAGTGGCCTGTGACGTAAGAGAGGATTATAACACTGCAGTCTAAAGCTGGGAAACAAACACATATTTGGAAAAAAGTAAAGTAAAATAATTTTAACAGTGATTCAGTCCAGTTTGCTGACATGAGAAAATGGACTTAATTTAGTGTGTGGAAATGTCAAGTAATTTATTGTTCCCTTAACATGTCCTTTAGTGGAATGTATAACCCATCTAAAAATGTTGCAATTATGAGAGACATTTAAGTAATTTTCTAATATTTTGAATTTAACAGCAATTTTAGAGCAATTAGTTTGATGGTACACATTTCACAAAGCCTGCTGTCTGAGTTATCAGTACTGGCATTTATAAAAGCCAATAAATGATCATTTCAGAAGAAGACACTTTAAAAGCACCCTTCACTCATGAGTGATGATAGTGTGTCGTTTGTTCTCCAGAGGACACTGCAACTTCCTCGTTGACAGCACACTTGTTTGGAATCCCACAAACAACAACCCTTTAGAGTCAGGCAGAGTGTATACTGCACATAACTACACAAAAATGTTAGGGAAATCTATTCAGATTTCATGTGTCTGAAAGAAAACAAATATTGCTTCATATAACAGGATGCAGAAATTTTAAATCTTATTCTGGTCAGAACTTTTTGTTAAAGAGATCTTAATGATGCATTGGTGTGTGAGACACATTTAAAGGGTTAAGCTCAAGGGTTTGGTAGGATGAACTTTCAGCTATGTAGCAGTTTAATAGCATTATAATCTCACATAGATTTTGTACAGTACAATGCTTCACTCTGAAATGCAAAGTACCATATAATACTCCAGTGAGAAGACATCTGTCCCCCATTACTTTGTCGCGTTACACTACTGCTATTTGACTGGTGTGTCAATTTTCTTAACCCCTACTACGAAAATAAATTTTTCTTACAGTTACTGCTTTAAAACTACTCTCTGTACAATGGATACTCTTGACAGATAGTCTGCAAATCCTACACTATCTTTAGCTGCAGCTGACGTTAGCAATAGCCAAGAAATCAGTATTTAGATTATTACAATTGTAGTATTATCTCAATATATATAAACTAAATTTAAAAAAAAATCTAAAGTTTCCCTGCATAAGTGCATGTTTAAAGTTGTTTTAAACGCTTGAAACTCTAATGTTTTGGATCTTACCCCTGATCGCATGGAACCATACATACAGGAACGTCAAAAGACGGACAACGTTCAATTTAAACGTTTTACTTCCGGTTCATCGAGTATTTAAATTTTGTTAAAATGTATCATAATCCCCGAAGTGACATATTATGTTTTGATTGAAAAAATAATTGATTCCAGTAAATTCATTGATAATTTTTTACCTATTATATAAATACTTTTGTAATTTCCTTAATGTACTTATCGCGGTTGCTTTGGTTACGGGTTGAATCCGGAAGTGGCTCTATAGAAACATTTGTTTGAAACATGGCTGTGCAGAGCTGGAGTGATATCCTAAAATCGTCAAAGAAAACGGCTTTAATACATGATGGTAAGTGCAAGAAGTAAAATGTGTTTTTAATACAGAGACCTGTTTTTCTTGTTCCCCCAGAATTACTTTCATTTTAAGCATTTTAACTCAGTCATCTCAACTTCGCACACAGCGGTACCGCTAACATGTAATATAAGTAGGTAACAAGAGGTGGTACAGGTGGTATTGAACTCCATTGAGGTTGTTTTTGCTTTAAAATTACAAGAAATGGGTGTCTTTTTAGTAAAACAGCTAGGCTCCAAATTGTAAAAAATTACGATAATATGTCCAAAGTAAATACGTGCTTTTCTCTAGATGTCAACGGCAAGCTAGTCAGGCATTTGCACTGCGCACATTGTTACTTCTCTTTCTTAAGTGAGTTCACCTGCTTGACTATTTAAGCCTGTTGTTCTTATTTGTAAATTACGGTTTGATCCTAAATTTGTAAGGAAAATATACACACACCGGATACTTCCCCTTACCCCCTTACTGGCAGAACTGCCTCAATTCTTCATGCCACAGATTACATAAAGTGCTAAAAGCAGTTCTTAAAGATCTAGGTCCATATTTACATGAGAGCATCGCACAGTTGTGCAGTTTTGCTGACTGCACATCCATGAAGTTCTATCACATCCCTTAGGTGGTCTATTGGACTGAGATCTGGTCACTGTAAAAGCCATTTTAGTACAGTGAACTCATTATCACGTTCAAGAAACCAATATGAGATTACCTGAGGTTTATGACATGATGTGTTATCCTGCTGGAAACAGACATCAGAGGATGCAGCATTGTTACAAAGAGATGGACACGGTCAGCAACAACAGTCTGCTTTTAAATGATGCTCAGTTGGTACCAAAGGGCCCAAAGTATACAAGGAAAATATCCCCTACAACATTACCCCACCACCTGCAGCACAAACCGTTGATACAGGGCATGATGCTTCTATGCTTTCATGCGTTTGAACCCACATTCTGTTTCTGTTATCCGAATTACACTGCCCTAATCTGAACCTCAATGCTCTCTTGTCCAATTTTTCTGAGTCTGTATGGATTATAACCTCAGTGTCTTGTTCTTACAAGAATGACATGCACCATGGTCTTCTGCAAGTTTCAACATGCTGTGTTCAGAGATGTTCTTCTGAATATGTTGGTCGTAACAAGTGGTCATTTGAGTTACTGTGACCTGCTTGGCTATTCTCTTCTAACCTCGAACATCAACAAGCCATTTTAATGCTGAGAACTGCTGCTCACTGGATATTTTCTCTGGATTCTCTCTAAACCCTAGAAATGTATGTGTGAGAAAATCCCAGTAGATCAGCAGTTTGTGAAAATGCTCAGATCAGCCTGTCTGGCACAGATAACCGTGCAACTTTTGAAGTCACTTAAATCACCTTTCTTCCTCATTGCGAAGCTAGGTTTGAACTTCAGCAACTCATCTTGACCATGTCTACATGCTTAAATACACCGAGCTGCTGCCATGTGATTAACTGATTGGATATTGACATTGAAAGGCAGGTGTACCTATGGAGTGGCCAGTGAGAGTATATTTTACATATATCATGACAATGATCAAAATTAGAGCTGGGTAAGGACTTAATTTAGTTGGGTTTGGCATGATTTCTGTTGTTGTAGTGAGTAGAGAGTAATTTGTTTACTAATACTTAGGAATTCGCCTGTATGTTGGCTGAATGTCGGTATCTGTTGATATTGGTTCTTTTGACTAAAAATCAGTATCACAAATCAGTGTGATGAAGAGCTGATTTTTTTTTTAAAAACAGGTCAATTATTTATTTAGATTTAATATATTGGTGTTCCTGGTACAATAGTTGGAAATAAATAATAAAGAATAAACAACAAAATAAACTGACTGAAAAACAAAGATCTGAATCAGCTATTGGGACAACTGTTTTGCAGCATTGGTATTTGCCTAGAGTTTTGCAATTGATGCATATCTGCTTATATGGCTCAAATTTGACTTCTTTTTTGCGCAGGAAAAAGGAAGATCCACTATCTCTTCACAGATGGAAAAGAAATGGCAGAAGAATATGACTTAAAAACAGATGAGCTCCTCGGTAAGCCACATGTTTTGAGTTATACACAGCTGAATGGTGTTAATTTCTACAGTTTCATGCATTGGATCAGTTTGTGTCTCATAAAGCATTTGATACATTTCAGTGAGAAAATGGCGCCATAAAAGCACGCTTGGAGTTCAGGGCTTGTGGCTGGTGGAGGTTGGGGAGCCCCTTGCAGGTCCTGTTGCATCTTTGGAGTCTGATATGATCAAAGAGAACAGCTCAAATGTAGGTGTTAACGTTTTAATTAGATCTCTACTTTTGACTTACATTTGTGAAGTTCGTCTTCATTTTGTTTGCGCAGCCCATATTCATGCGTAAAGACACAAAGACCAGCTTTCAGTGGAGGATTCGCAACCTTTCCTACCCCAAAGATGTCTTCAGTGTTTCAGTGGATCACTCTGAGAGATGCATCATCATCAAAACCTCAAACAAAAAGTAAATATGCATGAGAACACATCTGTGCACCTATTTCTGTTTTGTTCACTGGTTGCATTGAAGTCCCTGCATTCTCCCTATAGATGGCACTGTTTACAATACGTTTGTCCCGACAGTTCAGCTTTGTGACATCCTTCCCATGTCTTCCCAGGTATTACAAGAAGTTCAGTATTCCTGATCTCGACCGCAGTCAGCTACCATTAGACAACTCCGCGCTAAGTTTCACTCATGCCAACAACACTTTAATTGTTAGCGTAAGTTTTGCATACCAGCAATTGATATATATATATATATGTGTGTATGTATGTATGTATATGTGTGTGTGTGTGTGTGTGTATTTTATGCAATTTTATCATCAGTTTATGATAAAGTTAAAATTGCTCCAGCCCGAAGAGAATCTATTTAACGAGTATACCTGCACTGTTATTAAAAGAATATATATGTACAAAATATGTTTTTGTCCACACATTCAAAGAAAATGTATCTCTCTCTTTTGCAAAGAGACATAAGAACAGTTTCACTTTATTGTTTAAGCACTATATGCCAATCATGAGAGTGAAGAATTGTTTCTTTTCTTTTTTTTTATTTCCCACGTTTATTTTTCGTGCTCACAATAATTGCTTCAATCACTTTGTGTGTTAATTTTTTCAGACTTTTTTATGAAGACACTCAATAATATGCATAAATAAAATCTGTTATTATTATTTTTTCTCTGTTGTCCAGTACGAGAAACCCAAAGAGATCTTAACCCTTGAACAAGAGCTACTGAAGGAGCTGAAAAAGCTGAAGGGGAGTGCTGACGGGGACGTCGACTGCAAAACCCAATGAATTCTGCCTGTGGGAGCCAGGGAATAATTCTGGGTTGCATTTAGAGCAGAACCTCGCAGCATCATTTTCCAGTCACGTATGAGCTCTCATTTATTTCTTCTGTACTTAATCCCTTCATTAAGATTCACTGTGCCTTGTCCCTTAGCTTAATGTCTAATTGTCTTAATTAATTTGGTGGAATTATATGTCTGGAAATGTGTCCAGCCATTTATGTTTGATACAGTGATATTTAGTAAAATATATTATTAGTAGATTTAAAAACTTTGTGGTTTAATTTTTAACCCAAATTCTTTGGCTGACAAAAAATAATGTCAGAATCTGTTTTTGCTTCTTTTTACCAAACCTACTGTGGAGAAGTTTTGTTGGGGGGGTCACATAACCTACCGGCCTCCTTCCATTGATGTCCTTGTAAAACACTCAAAACACACAAGGCTTCATCCCTGTTCGTTCCGAGGTCACAGTTACGAGGACATCCCATTTGTGTTAAATGAATACCCTCATGTTCCTTGTATGTAGTGGGCCACCCTGAAAGCCATTACTGAAACTTGCGTTACCATTTCCCTTTACAAGAGAAGGCGATTCTGACTTAGTGGTCTATGTCCAAAGTGCCGTAGACATAAGTAAGAATTAGATGCAACTGTTTTTGCAGAGCTTTATTTCAAATTTCTATGAAATTTGTGTTTGTTTGTTTGTTTGTTTAACGTGAAGGAATGTGAAGCTGAGATTTTATATCTTTGAGAAACTGAAATGTTTGTGTATACTGTACGCTGAATGAGGTTTATTAAAGTTGGGTATTTCTCTATTTTTTTTTCTTTAATCCGAATTCAATTAAAGAAAAATTGAAAAATTGTTGGCTGGTGAGGAATACTTAGACAGTGGACAACAAAAGAAGTAGTGTGTTTAAAGGAGACAATGGCATTTAAATATAGATTGTTTGAACCCTGTGATTCCTTGCATTTTTTACCACTTGTCCAAACCCAGAGAGCAAGTGCAGAAAGCAGAGACAAAACCACAGGTCTCTCTCCCTCACTATTGTGCTTTGTCTTCATCCAGATGGAAAGAACAAGAATATAAGAAAACATTTCAAAACCAGCTGGCCCTGTCGCTTTGTAAATTCTTGTGAGGGGCCTGACTGTCAAAATGACAAAAATAAATTCGTACGTAGCGTTTGATAGTTCGGTCTTGGTGCCAAATGTTGATTCTGATTATCTTAAACATAATGAAGGTTTCTGCTGCTGAGTAGCGTTCATTTAGAAGTCTTAATTTTCTTTAATAATTAACTGTTCTCAGAGTTTCATCTACTGTCAAAACAGCTAACAAATTGGACATCCAGCTCCAACATTGTGGGAGCTCTGTTCAGGGTCTTCTTCCTCCCCTGTCATTTGGCCTCTGATGGTCATGCTCAGCTGCTTCTGGGAAGAGGGTTTCTTTCCTGCCTCCCTTTCATTACCGAATGCCTATTCCCAGCCATTCCCCCTCTTTCAGTTGATGCCACAGTTTGCCACACAAGCCCTGGTGCTTTTTCTGCAACCCCTCAACTCCCTCTTCGCTGCCTCGCCACCTCCCCCCCCTCAAAACCCCTTACCCCTCCCTGTGTGACTGGCTTCCTTTTTGATAACTGACCCCTCCTCGTGTTATTATTCGAACCCACTATTGTATAACATGCCCTTTTATATGAGGTTTCACAAAGGGCCCATTTGATCAGAGGGTTACGGTGTGCGATCGTGAGAAATGCAACTACATGGTGGTAACCTTTGTTTGGGCCAAAATGGTGGGCTGACCTCATCGCTTTTAATGCATAGCTTGGGCCATTCAGGCCCAAGTCTCACTTGCTGAGCACATTGAATTCAGTAGCCTGTCACAGATATTGCCTCTCAGTTATCTGGGTCTCCAGCTTGAAGAAGAAGGTGGAGAGAACTGCAGTTTTGGGGGGATACCAGCATCGCACGCTAGCTTTCCATCCCAATATAAACACACAAGAGAAAACCAGAGCAGCCTGTGATGTCGTTCTTTAGTGGTTTTAATATACACTCTACAATAAATATTTCCATCATTTGATGTAATTTACATTTTTACAGTAAAAATATATTTATATATGTAGAAAAAAAACAGGTTACATAGTCTCCAAAATGGCCTCATAAAGGCAAGATAGCATGTCAGCTGAAAGTCAGATGCTGTAACCACAGATAGCTGCCGTGTCTAGCTTCATTATACTCATTTAAACATTCTTTGTTGCTGAGCTGACTAACTTCTAACAAAGGGTTTTCATTCGTGAAATTATTGTTGAGCTCTCCTGTACTTTAAATGCCTCCTGATTTAATAAGAAAATAAGCGTTCTACAGTTTGTCTGAATTGGAAAAAAATCTAACAGATTAGATAGTCAATGTTTACATACAAGCCAGTACAAAAAACAACAAAAAATTATATATCGAATCCAAAAATGAGGCAAAAAGTGTATTGGCACTTGACAGGAAAAGTTAGTTTGCATGAAGCACATGGTTTTCTCTTGTAGTGGTTCTTCTGTGCTGGTTCATCCACGGTTCTCCCTCAGTGGTTTCAGTCCTCAGCGTCCCCCTGAGCGCTGGTGGTGGGAATGTTTAGTCCGCTTGTTGAAAGGGTGCGCGGGGACAGGGAGAGGAAGAACATCAAACGGTCTCTTCTCACTCAGCAAGTGCCCCCTGGGTAGACGCTTCATGAAGTGGGCCTCCCTCTGGTGTTGCTTGGTCTTGGAGGCCTTCCTGGGGCGGCCCTTGCGTGTAAAAGCCATGTACCAGCCCTCGTACTTGGCGTTCTGGAGTGCAGTGTAGTTGTTTTCCAGAACAATCTCGGTGAAGATGCAGTCCTTGCCTCGCCCTTTCCGCTGAGGAAAGAAAAAGACACGAGAAGCTGAGACACATTTGGACAATCTCCAGGAATCAGAAACACCATCTTTATTTCCAGACAATGAAATATCTCTCAAAACCGAATTTGTTCCGGCTTTGAATGAGTCTCAACAATGTATTGCCATAAGCTTGAAATCTGCAAAATACATTTCCAAGGAACACTTCACAATGTCGCTGTCGTCTTATGCAGCCACAGAACTATTATTTCCAGATTACCTTGCCGATCAACTTCCCCTTCTTGTTCATACATATGTAATATCCTGTCTTCACCCCTTTAATACGAATGCGACTTCCAAAAGAATCCGTCTCCACTTCCAGTTTAGCTGCATAGACAAAGAAAGCAAATGCGTATAATGAGATGATACAGTCTGGTCACGGTGCAAGCATGCAGACAAACGACCTCTGCATTTCTTTTTTCTGGGTTTTTTTAATGCATGGCAGAAAGAATATGAAAATTTATCATCAGCATTAAAGAAAATCAAAGTCTTCTAAAAAAAAAAATCATGACCAGTCTACTAAAGATGACATAAATTCTCTCTAAGCCCTTTTTTGTAATCCAGCAGCCACCTTTAACAAAGCATGCTAACCTTCCAAAATAGCATCAAATGATAGTGATTTTGTACGGCGTGATTGTTTTCGAATGTCTGTAAATGCTGTGCTGTGATGCAGCACAGACTGGGGATAAAGGAGAGAGTGAATACTGCGGTCAGAGACACAACCACCGAGCACAGAGCAACGGTCAGATTTGGGCCAGTTACAACAGTGACACCCACTTAGGATGTGTGGAGAGTGTATGCATGGCTGACTCTTGCTCTCTCTGTGAATGTGAGTCTAGGCAAAAGAAATTTAAAAGACAAAAGTGCACACAGGAGAGGACTGGAGAGGAAAAGGTATAAAGTGAAGATGCTGACTTCACCGCTCCTTGTAAACTGAGTCATACATTGAGTGTAAAGCAATGAAAATTCCTCATAAAACCAGCCTCCAAGTAGCAGGCATCATGCATTGAGAGGTGGATGGATGGTGGCGGTTGTGGTGGAAAGATGCCTAGACGCACCAAAATTTTGGTGACAGAAATTATGTTTCCTTTTAAGTTTAAGATCTTTTTTCCTCCAGTTAAATGTTAAGAAAAATGTCCCTGCTGAAGTCCATCATAACAGGTGTCACAGACTTTCTGCAACACCAACACACTAAGAAAGAATTCATCTGCACAAGACATAAAAGATGGCAACACTGATGCCACTAACAATGTTTGCAACTGTGGCTTCTGTTTCTACTGGCTCAAACGGTTTTCCACAGGCGGCCAAAAATGACATAATTTATGCTGCTTTTCAACACCGTCCTGCGCGCCATTGAACTTAAACAATTCCGGTGTTTGTAAGGTGAACATGTTTCGTATTTTACTGTCTTCCTGAGGTTTAAAGGCACTGAAATGTAAGAAACGATGGCCTTTAACTGTCATGGGGTTTGACTGATCTGGCCATAATACACGGGCTTGAAGAAGTAAAGTCGCTCGATCATTTTAGAGACAATAAAAAGTGATTCCCCTGAACGGATTAACATATGTGCATCGTTTAACTACCTATTTATTGCATAAACTACAGTGAGCCTAAATACATTATCGCATGCGTAAATTTGGAAAGGTTAATGGTTAAGTGAGACTATTCAGCAACTATTTAAAAATAAATCCCCAAAATATATAAATATATTTTTGTTTTTTTAACTATAAGATTTAGTCCTCCCTGCTGGTCTTATTTAGCGATCACTTGTATCTAACCGTGTGCCGCTCCGTCTTCTCCGTTGGCGTTCACCCTCTTGTTGGCCAGGACCTGGACGTGTTTCCCGCTGGTGCGACTGTACAGCTGGTAGGTTCGGGTCAGCCTGCGGCTCATCCGGTCCGATAGCCGGCTCTGCTCGGTAACGTGGTGCTTGAAATTCGGAGGGGACTGCACGGTGTTCTGTCGAGAAAAAAAACACCCCGAACACGTCAAGGCAAAATATTTATTTCACCTGTCTGGAAATAAAAAGCCCGTCAAGTCACTGAGCCAAGGCCCCTGCCAACAGTTCATCATAGCATTAGTCATTTTTAAATAAACCCAAAATAAAATTGGGTTATTTTGAGTCTTTTCGGAGATGCTTTCAAGAAACCTCGTGGATGACATTTCACTCTGTAGGTTGTTTTTTTTTTTTTTTTTTTTTACCACCGTTGATCTTTCACCCCTTCATGACTTTCTCTTTTCCCCTCATTTCAGCCGTTCGCCGTCCACATGTGTTTTAACAATTACCTTTTAGGCTGGAGCTTACCGCTTTTCAAGATGTTTGAATTGTTGCCAATTGCCATAGCACTCATAATAAAATGTTTTCATTGTTATTGCAGCCTATTGGAGAGGTGGAGGGAGTGGGCTATAAGCTGCTAAGCACTGCGCCTTTGGTACCTGTTAAGTTTTGTTCAAATTAATTAGCCTATAGAACTTTATGCAGCGTTAGTGTTTTTTTATTGAAGTGAAAGTGTGCGTTACCTGTGCGTAAAAGCAAAGCGCCGTGAACTGAAGTAACCTGCGGCAAAGACAAAATCAATTAAAAGCTTTAACTTGTTGCTCAGAATGTATGATTTACACAGAGAGCTACATGAAAAAAGATGTTTTACTTACAGATAACCTAACCTCGAAGTTCTCAGCCTCATCTTGTAATAGTTCAAATATTGCTTCATGAATACTCCACTGATTCGCTGCTGGAAGCTCTCGGAAATAAAGTTGCTCCTGAAGGGGATTTCAGCTCAGTTTTATCCCCCTCTTGTTACGCATAGAAAGTGATACCCGTGGCAATTAAGAGATCCAAAACTGTCAGGGTCCCATACAGGTACGGCATCTACGCTCCATTCTACTTATAGGATAGGGGGGGAAAAATGGACGATTTAAAAGCGTTAATCCAAACTTTAAAGTCCCGAGAAAGCGTCGCTTTCACCAAACCACCTCCATTAAATCCTCTTTGTGACACTCAGTTGTTCAACAATGAAGATTTAAAGTAGAATGAATCCCACTTGACTTGCTTTGCCACCGCAGTGAAGAGTTTTAGTTTTACGCACCGATCTTTACGCACCAGCGATAAGATGCGTAGCCTACCGTGGGTTTCCTAAAAAGAAAGGTGATTCGATATGAAGGAAAACTAGTGAATGAATATCACGAATACTAGCGCCGCTCAGTTTGCTTAAAGTTTTCAAGCAATGTCACCACAACTGTCTTTCTATAAGATGCGCAGATAGTAAAGCTCCTGCTTCAACCTTCCTCCCACACGTGTATTTCTTGTGGTTGCCTCCAGTCCGCATACAGCATCTGTCTCCCTCTACATTTAAATACTTTAACTTGCGGGAAAGTCAATATCCTCGGTGAGAGCAGGCGGAGCGTTCAGCCTGGAGCCAAGTTGAAACCGAATACTTGTTAAGTTACTTAGCCTGCAACTATTTGGTTGCAAATCCATAAACACCGCATTCATCAATGAGTTGACTTTATAATTAAACACCTTATGAGATGAAATATAAACTAGATCCTGTCACGAAAAAATCGGCTTATTTGCGGGTAAATTGGTAGACCTGATCTACAGAAATCTAATAAAAACAGGCCCTTCAAAATCTTTTAAACCAAGCGTTTAATCACAGTCTTACACATTAATCTTATTCACGCACATGTTTTGATCTTGCAGTCAGTGCACTTTGTTTTCTAAAAGCAGAAATGTCCCCTTGAAAAAAAAAATCCTTGGCATGTACTTAAGAAAAGCTACAGTTACATTAACCTATTCCCTGACTGCAGGTTAGAGGTTGTTTGGTGGTCCCTCAGGACACACCTCGATGTACTTTTTCATCCTACATATGTAAGTAATATGTATTCCATGTGAACGCATGACACAGAATGGTTTTCACATAACATCTAAAGCCTTTGCCATGGATACAAATGCTCTCTCACTCAAAATCACTCTTCCACAACTTTTCACAATCATGGTTTGATTTTGAGAAGTGTGTCCTGGCCCATGTGTGCTACTTGCAGAGGATAGTTTCATACACTACATCATGCACTTATATTGTAATTATTCTTTGTGACAGCAAAGCAGCAGCGTTTTCTTCAAGGGAAGATCACTGTTGCATAATTGTCTCATGGGTAAAATGGGAAACTTCAAACGCAGCTTTTCAAGTATAAAATCTACAACTGAACGAATGACCCCTTGCAATCTAACATATAAAATAAAATTAGGACTCATTTAATTAAAAAAAAAATCAGATATATTTTTATATGTCATTCTTGCTGTCATGTAACTTTTGCCTGCCTTCAAAATTTCAGGAGGATTTTATATAAAAAATGTTATATCATTTCTTTGTCACTTGGACTGATAAAGCTTCATGTTTGCTTCAGATGAACTTTGGTATATTTTTGAGTTGAATAATTTCTGGAGACTTTGTCGCCAGCTTTTTTACATCACAAGCACATTAGGAAGTTGACCCCCTATTTTTAGCTAACACATTAGAGAATAAAGGAGAAACAAATACAGTGAAAAAAGGTTTCAGTGTACAGTATAATTAATATTTTTAAGCAGACTTAAAAAAGTCAGCCCAATGTCATTTGTAGACGTGAGGAGAAATACAGAGAAATGTGAAACAAATGTTACTTCAAACCCCTCTTCTTGACTTTTTATTGCTCTTGTGTGTGCAGATAAAGCATTAATCATAAATAGAGAAATGACCGACTAAACACACAATCATAAACTGCCTTCTAAATCTCTACTGTATATCTTAGCCCTCACAATGCTGCAAGTGAAAGTAAATTTAGGTAACTCCGGCAAATCAGCCTTGATAACTACACTTTAAATCAGAATAATATTGTTAACAGTATAGTTTTACAGACTTCAGGCCTCAAATCTGATTATCGTCCTAATGAGCCAAAGCAGAGTTCTGGCTTTGACTCTTACCTGTGAGACTTAATACAAGCAGGCCCATGTTCTTTGTGCGAACAGGATGGGAAACTATTGCACCCTTCACACAGAACAGCTGTACAAGAGTAAAATATAATACATACATAATTATGTGAGTTTGGTCAACGTCTTAGTTGTAAATCAGTCATTTTAGCCAATGCAGGGGATTTAGAGGGTGAAAATGGACTGCCTTATTAGTTCCAGCGGGACACTGCAACAAGTGATTTTGCCACCTGGACCAATTCTGCACTTTGTTCTTTCATATTTTGACCCCATATGAAGCAGCGATTGCACATCCTAATATGAAATCCACATGCATGACAATTAAAGCAAGTGTTTTTTTTGTAGACCACACAATGACTTATCAGTATAGTGCACGTGACTGTGTAACCCCAGATTAGTTCACCCACGAGTCATTTAAAGAAAATTTGATTAAGAGGCAAAGGAAACCTTGAGTCCCATATCGAGGGTTTCTTTTTATTTTAAAGCCACTGTACATCACTCACAGTCAAAGTTTCTATTTTAGGTTTAGGGGATGACACAAAAGTATAGTTTATTATTTACTTTTTTGAATGTCTTGGGGTTATAGCTCATGCTGATTGTCTCCCAAAATTTTAGCTTCTGTCTTTGTTAACTTATAGTCAACTTATTTGAGCCGAAACCAACAAGAGAAGGTCAGTGCTTTTTTTGTGAGGAAAGTTGTGCATGTTTAATTAATTTTGACAGCCTCGACACATTATCATTGTAATAACTGTGAATATGAATGATAAATTAAAGAAAAAACATTTAGGATGAGTTTTTAACTTGGCTTTTTTAGTTTGTGATTTTATAAGTGCTTTGTGAGTGAACTGCCCTGAAAAAACTTCTGTAAAAAAGTAGAAATTAGGTTTAAAACTTGTTGGGGGAAAAGTGGCTGATATAATGGCACTGGCTTAATAAATGTTACCTGGGATATGTTACTTGAATATTTAAAATTACATGAGATGACTGACACAACTCCCTGTATGTATGTAAATATAGGTTTCCACTAGTGGTCTGGCAAGTATGCTGTGTTCTGCTCCCGCCAAGAAAAACGTAACCTCTTGTTAGCTGAGAAAAAGGGTCTTTACACTTCAGTTTTTGCACAGATTAAACAAACAAGACGTGATGTTTCAAAAAGCTTTAGATGTGCCTTTAGGGGGGTTTCTGGGGTGCTTTTAAGATTTCTACCTAGCAGCAACCTCTGAAAAATGAAACCCATGTACCAAAAACTACAGCTCCTCTAATGCAAGAGTGCGTAATTAATTTTCCCAAGGGGCCACATGAGAAACTGTTGTGCAGGGATTCACCAACAAGCTTATAAAGAGATAAAACCCACCACAATGGTCTCAGGTTCTCGTGGGGACTCTTGGGAAAATGATTTGCCTACCCCTGCTTAAAGGCTGTCTCCAAAAGTGTTGACTGTCTGGTATAAAACAAACAAATCAATAGAAATATTTTGTTCTCTGCAGTTAATTTCCTGCTTTTGTGTCAGCTGTATAGGAAGTACTTTTTTATCTCTAAAAATCATTAAAGATAAATTGTTTTAAGACTAAAAGTTATACTGCTCTGATAAGCCAGTGACAAAGCCTAAGCCACGAGCTGTCTGCCAGACTTCAGCCCAGATAATATGAGTCAAAGAACTAGAACTGTTTGTTGGAGTATTTGTTGCAGTTATTTAATAGATATTATACCTTTCTGCATAGTTAACAGTAGCAAAAGGCCATCTGTGAAGTCTAATCTGTAGTTTGGTGGTAAGTAACCTATGAATAGCATAGGTTACTTACCACCAATCAAGAGTTAGCCAATGCATACAGTCTATGGATGCAACATATTAACCCAACTTGCTACTATTTCCTGGTGTCTCAGGCTGCCATTCAAGGCATCAAAAACCAATGCTTGACTTCTCACACACAAAAAAAGAGAAAATAATGTATATTCCAGGACTTTAATGTCTGAGTTTTGAGCCAGTATTTTAAATCATTAGAATATTTCATTTCAAGTTTGAGTAAATTACACATAAAGCAGTAGAAATATTGTATCAGTGCAGGTAAAGACTGTTGACTTGACAGTTGTCCAGATGATGAAAGCTGAGCCACATAAAGTCATTGCTAAAAAGGCTGGTTGTTTGCAGAGTGCAGTATCGAAGCATTTTAATGGAAAGTTGACTGGAAAGGAAAATTGTGGCATGTAAAGATGTGCAAACAAAAAGGATGAGTGCCTCAAAGTTTTTTTGGGGTTTTTTTGCATTTCATTTGGAAATAAAGATCCTACAGTCTGGATAAAGGCTTGGTGTTTGAACTCCAGTGTGACGTTCCCGGAGTATGTGATGGTTTGGGGTGCCATGTTATTTGCTGGTGTGTTTTATCAAGTCACAGGGCAGTGCAGTCACGTACCAGGAGATTTTATGCTTCCATCTGCTAACTAGCTTCATGGAGGCGCTGATTTCTAGCAGGACTAAGCATCTGCCCATGGTGCCAAAACTACTACCACATGGCTTGCTGACCATGTTATTACAATGTTTGATTGGCTAGCTAACTCTCCTGACCTGAACAACAAAGAGAATCTTTGGGCTATTGTCAAGGGGAAGATCAAAAACACCAAAATCCAGGCTGCTAACACCTCAGCAGTGCCACAAGCCGATCGCCTCCTCGCCACGCCGCACTGATGCAGTAATTCATGGCAAAGGTGTCCCAACCAAGGACTGAGTGCAGAAGTCTGACATTTCTGCATTTTCAAACCTTTTTTTAAAAACTGATCTTAGGTTTTTGATTTTCAACACTTCTAAGTCATAATCAATATATTCCATGATGTAGACACAACCAGGCTGTCAGATTCCCTCAGTTTCAGGTTTTTATAATAACCCAATGCAACTGCAATCTGAATATAAATCTTCTTATTTAACTCGCACAAAAGTTAATATGTTTTCAAAAACATCAAACTTTTGTGTTAACTACTCCTTTAAACAACCACAACACCTTTGTCCTTAGTGTAGTATCTGCCCCTACAGCAACACAGTGCTCAGTCTGGTGCTGTAAAGTCCATACATCTCTTACATTTCACAGCAGTCTACAACAGCCACTTACAATTTAGAAACAATTCCGTCTCTGCAATTATAAACGACATTTGGTTAAGGTGACCTGTCAGGCAGTTTTGGCTAAAATTCTCCAGACTGAACATGAAAGGTTCCTCATGAAACCTGATCAAAAGCTATATTTTTTATTCTGCTTTGTTACATACCTAACTGTCTGCTGCCTCACTCCTGAAATTCTCTAGTGAGCAGCTTTTCTGGCCTCTTAATAATTTTGAGAAGAGTTGACACAGGTCCAAGTTTTGCCCC